TTGAAGAGGTTTTCTTTCCTTCCTTCCTTGAGAGAGCCGGCCCCTTGAACTAAGAAATGGAGCAATTTTTGGTAAATTTTTAGTTTATTAAGTCAAATGGTAAGACATGGAATAGTAGTCAAAAGTTTCTACCAACCCTATGGTGACACTTGTCACCATCATTATTGCATCTCTATCTTTTTGTTTCCTCTCACACCAATCCAAATAGCACCCTCTAATTATCTCTTAACACCCGGTAAATTAATTCCAGTATCCAAAACTTAACCGAGTTGGCCGAATTTTTCCGAACTTTTCGCCCTAGTGGGTCCCACGTCCGGTATACTCTCTTAATTTCTCAAAACCTATTCGATACTAGAAAAATCATCTAAAAACTATATTTACTCATCAAAATTATCTAGAAAATTTTCCTACTAAAGAAAATACAGAAAACAAGCCATTAAATAAATAAAACCCTAGAAAATGGGAAAAGTACGGGTTCTCACACTCTCTCCCCCTTAAAAGAATTTCGCTCTCGAAATTTCTCACCTCAACTCACGAAAAGTTCAGGGTACTTCTTTCACATTTCTTCTTCCACTTCCCAGGTAGCTTCCTCTACCCCATGATTTCTCCACGGTATCTTAACCAACGGAATCTGCTTGTTTCTTAGCTCTTTAACTTTTCGGTCAAGCACTTGGACAGGTTTCTCTTTGTAAGCAAGCGATTCGTCTACGTCGATCTCCTCTGGTTGTAAGATATGGGAGGGGTCGGGATAGTATTTCTTGAGCATCGAGACGTGGAAGACGTCGTGAATTCGAGAGAGACTGGACGGCAGCTCTAATCGATACGCTACCGCTCCTACCTTCTGGAGGATCTTGTAGGGTCCAACGAACCTCGGTTGCAATTTCTTTCCTTTACCCGCCGTGACGCTCCGTAACGGTGTAACCTTGAGGAAAACACGATCTCCAACTTCGAACTCCAAGTCTTTCCTTCGATTGTACGCATAGCTCTTTTGTCGGCTTTGAGCAGTTTGGAGTCGTTGCCGTATTAATTTGACCTTTTCTCGCGCCTCCTCCATCCATGGAATAGTTGTTAGATCTAGCGCCTTTCTCTCGCCAACTTCATCCCAGTAAATTCGTGACCAGCATTTCCGTCCATATAGTGCTTCATATGGAACCATTTGAATTGACGAATGGTAGCTATTATTGTATGCAAACTCTACTAAGGTCATGTGTTGACCCCAGTTGCCTCCAAAATCTAGAATGCAAGTTCGTAGCATGTCCTCGAGAGTTTGGATTGTTCGTTCTGATTGTCCATCCGTCTGAGGGTGATAGGTCATGCTCAAATTGAGTTTCGTCCCTAGCGTCTCTTGGAATTTCTGCCAGAATCGAGATATGAAACGTGGATCTCGATCGGAGACGATACTGACTGGAACGCTGTGTAGCCTTACAATCTCGTCCATGTACAGTTGGGCCAACTTGTCCATGGAATATTTCATGTTTACTGGCAGGAAGTGAGCCGATTTGGTTAACCGGTCGACGATTACCCAAACGGCGTCATGTCCTCGTTGCGTTCGTGGTAAACCTGAAACGAAATCCATGGTGATGTTTTCCCACTTCCATTCAGGTATCTCAAGGGGTTGTAACAAGCCCGATGGTTTTTGATGTTCCGCTTTCACCTGTTGGCAAACAAGACATTTTTGCACGTACAGAGCAATTTCCTTCTTCATATTGTCCCACCAATAGGTTGCTTTCAGGTCCTGATACATCTTGCTACTACCCGGATGAATTGTATACTTGGATCGATGGGCTTCCTCTAGAATCTCCGTTTTCAACGCTTCATCCTTCGGCACCACTATTCGGTTTCGGTATTTTAAAATACTCTCAGGACCAAAATTGAAATCAATGGTTTCTCCTTTTCCCACTTTCTCTCCCCATTTCTGCACTAGTGAATCTTCCTTTTGAGCTTCTTTAATTCTCTTCAAGAGAGTGAAAGTCACTTTAATATTGCCAAAAATCACCTTATGGCTCCCAAGGCAGGGTTTCCACTCACAAACCGACTCGAGTAAATTGCACTCTTTAATCATTAACCCGGCTACTTGCGCCTTGTGACTCAAAGCATCGGCCACTACGTTCATCTGTCCTGGATGGTAGTTGATGGTACAGTCGTAATCCTCCAAAAATTCCATCCATCGTCGCTGTCTCATGTTCAATTCCTTCTGTGAGAAGAGGTACCTCAGGCTTTTGTGATCGGAGTAAACCTCGAAGGTTACCCCATATAGATAATGTCTCCACTTTTTAAGAGCGAAAACAACGGCAGCTAGCTCCAGATCGTGGGTTGGATAGTTTTGCTCGTGGGGTTTCAACTTCCTAGAGGCAAAAGAGATCACATTACGGTTCTGCATTAACACGCAACCCAGGCCTTCTCGTGAGGCATCAGTATACACAGCAAATCCCTCCACTCCGTTTGGCAAGACTAGCACTGGACCCATGGTCAATCTTTTCTTTAGTTCATGAAAACTCGTCTCGCTTCGGGCATTCCAAAGGAACCGACCATGTTTCTTTGTCAAGTCGGTTAAGGGACCGGCCAGTTTGGAAAAGTCCTTGATGAAATGCCTGTAATATCCAGCCAGCCCTAGAAAGCTACGGATCTCGGTGGGATTTTCTGACCTCTTCCAATTAGTCACAGCCTCTACTTTCGCCGGGTCAACCGAAATACCCTCTTGAGAAATTACATGTCCCAGAAAAGAAAATTTCTCCAGCCAAAATTCGCACTTGCTGAACTTGGCGTATAGTTGATGGTCTCTTAGGGTTTGTAAGACAATCCTCAAGTGCTGCTCATGCTCTTCACGTGTCTTGGAATAGACTAGAATGTCGTCGATGAAGACTACAACAAATCGATCCAGGTAGGGCTTAAAAACCCTATGCATTAAATCCATGAAGGCGGCAGGAGCATTGGTTAGTCCAAAGGGCATAACTGCGAACTCGTGATGCCCATATCTCGAGTTGAAGGCAGTTTTCGGAATATCCTCCTTCCTGATTAATAACTGGTAATACCCTTAGCGGAGATCCAGTTTCGAAAAGACCACCGCTCCCTGCAACCGATCAAACAACTCATCTATGTGGGGCAGTGGATACTTATTTTTCACCGTAATATTATTCAGGCCCCGATAATCGATACACATCCTCAACCCACCATCCTTTTTCTTCACAAACAGCACAGGGGCTCCCCAAGGAGACCCACTCTCTTGAATGAATCCCAGCTTCAAAAGATCCTGTAATTGCAACTTTAGCTCCTTGAGCTTAGCAGGAGCCATTCGGTATGGTGTTTTTGAGATAGGTGAGGATCCCGGTAGCAGGTCTATTTTGAATTCAATCTCTCTTTCCGGAGGTAGAGCTACTAACTCATCAGGGAATACATCCGGAAATTCCTTTACTATAGTCACGTCTTCCACCTTTAACTTATCCGTGGGGGTATTAATCAGAAAGGCTAAAAATCCTTGCGCCCCTCTACTTAGCAGTTTCCTAGCCCAAATGCCCGAAATCAAAGCAGATGAGGCTATCCTACCCCTTATATCCAATCTTATGGTTGCCTCACCAGGGATGCGGAATTCTACCTTTTTTTTTTACAGTCCAGTTGGGTATTATACTTGGCTAGCCAATCCATACCCAATATCACATCATACCCTTTGAGGACTAAGCTTATCAAGTCCCCTAACAATCTCTTCTCTCCTACCCACACTTCACAATCCTTATAAACCATACTAGTAACCAAACGTTGATTCTCCGTAGGTGTACTAACTTCTAGGTTGTATGGTAAACTATCAGGTTTTATATCGATGCCACACATGAAAGCAGGGTTAACAAAGGAATGGGTGGCACCAAGATCAATTAAAACTTTAGCAAAGCGGTGGAAAATAGGGATCGTACCTTCTACGACCTCCGAGAAATCTGGGACCTGTTAGGGCTCTAAGGAATACACTCGAGCTGGCACCTTAGGTTTGGACCCATCTCCCCTAACTGGTCCAGCATTGGTCTTTGGCGCGGTTTGAGCCCCCTTTCCGTCTTGCTTTAAAAGTGGGCAGGTAGCAAGCTGGTGGTCTGCGCTTCCGCAACTCAAACATTTGCCCCCTTTCTTCCAGCAACTATCTTCGGAGTGATTCGGCTTTCCGCAGTATCCACAAGGCCCACGGGATGCCGAACCGGAGCCCTTCTGGAAGTTTCCGCCTTGGCCTCCTCCGGCTGAGCCACCCCTGGACTGAGCCCCTCTGCCGAAACCTGTCTGTCGTCCACCTCCAGCTCCTCGTCCGAACTTGGAGGGAGTACTTTTATCCCCTTGTCCAGAGCTGCCTCCAGGAAAACCCCTCTTCTTCGCCTGGAAGTTCCGTACTTGGACCCTGGCACTCTCTACTCGTTGGGCCTTCTCAACGGCCTCGCTAAAAGCATTAATTTTAGCAACTGCGAGGTCCTTCTGAATCTCCACGTTTAGGCCCTTGCAGTTGGAACACTCACCAATAGTCAATTAAGCAAGACAAGGAAGGCTTTCACAAGTTCTCCTCAGGATTTCCTTCGAATTCCTATTGAATACTTGAGACATGCACAATCAACGATTACCTATAATCATTCGACCAAGGCCAAATAATTTCCCCTCGACCCTTCTCTCAGGCATGATCAATCTCTTGTCAAATTAAGAGAGAAACTCTCTTCACTTAACCACTAAGGTAACTGTGGCGACCCCACTTCCCCCTCAGGCGAACCAAAGGGTTGGCGGGCCGTCTGCCCAACTCTCGCCAGGACTCACGCGAGCAATCTAACCCAAATCCTTTCGAAGAATAACCTAATATATTACAAAACAATTTTTCCCGAATAGGATCATCCTTAAAGCCACATTAACTTCAGAGATAGCAGTGATAAAATAACCAGTCGGTGCTCTTAAACGTCCTACGTGCTACGTACCAAAGTATAAAGTCGCACCAATCCGGATAGATACATACATAAATCCCAAATTCAAACTTACAAACCAAGTAATCGAATTAGGGTTTACACATTTTCCAGCTTCAAGTGGCAATCCAAAAAGAAAAGTACATTATCCCAAATAACACATTACAGCCCACAGAATAAGTTATAGTAGTCAAATACAATCCATAAGGAAAACATAAGTAAGCATCCAGCTTTCAGTTTCCAGGACCTGTTAAGGAAAACAATAAACGTGGGGTGAGCTAAAGCTCAGTGGTGCCCCAAAACATGCAATCACATAAATCAAACAACGGATAACAATTTAAACAAATTTAATCAATTAAGAAAGCGTATAACCGCACAAGGTAGGATACAGGGGCTCTCGGGAGCCATTCTCCTCGCTTGATCAGATACCCTCGTAGTTGACCCTCCATCAACTTTCACTACTTATAGTCTATGTAAATCCATTTATTTTAATCCTAACCCGTCACCGTTCATACCTCTGCTTCGGGCCCGAACTTCGTCTACCGACGCAGTATACTCGAGATATACCCGTATAAAATTTGTCGAGGGATTCACCCAATGACGTGATTGCAATCAGACTCATGCGTCGAGGATTTCACCCAATGACGTGATTGCAATCAGATTCATGCGTCGAGGAATTCATCCAATGACTTATTGTAGTTAGATTCAAGCGTCGAGGGATTCACCCAACGACGTAACTACATTTAGATTTATGGTAGTTAGATTCATGCGTCAAGGAATTCACCAAAGACGTGATTGCAATCAGATTCATGCGTCGAGAGATTCACCCAATGACGTGATTGCAATCAAATTCATGCGTCGAGGGATTCACCAATGACGTAACTACATTTAGGTTCATAAAAAAAATGATTCACACAAGCCACCATTCAAACGGCTAGTGCGATAAAGTACACACTGCTCACTTCGATGGATCAAAAACCATTTAACCCATTTTGACAGTTATCACATAGCAAGTTGATAAAGCACTTAACCACATAGGCATAAAACAAGCAGGGACACTCACCAAGAGTGGAGGTCAGATATCAAGTTGGAATCGAATTCCGCGTCCTCGCAATACCCTAGAAAACCAGGTTTTAAAACTATAAGTGTTGTTATACGGGTTCTTGGTTTATAAATACAAGGTTATCTAGTACATAACTAGTTTATCTACTCCAAATAAATCAACAATTTCCCTAGAGTTAAACTGATGAAAGTGATGAAATACTTCGTAGGATTTCTTTCTTTCTAGAGGTGCAAACCAGAACCAATTTGCTTTGAATAAGATTTCTTGCCAAACAAGTTTTCTGCGCCGTTTATTTAAAATTATTAAAATCAAGTTTGACCTTTAAAGTACAAATATAACACTTTCAATTTCTATTCAAGTTCCAGGTTTATAACTATAAAGGTTTATCGAGTATATAACTAGTTTATCGTTTCGAAGTAAATTCAAAGATTTACTTAGGTTGAAACTTGGCAAAAGTAGTAAAAATATTTCTTGTAGTTTTCCCTATAAAAGGTAATTAGTATTATTTTCTTGAGATAAATTGACAAACCACTTAATATCAAAACTAGAAAGATACTTCGAAAGATTTCTTTTATGCTATGGTTCTTGTAAAAATTGTCACTAAAAACTATTTTATCTAAAATAAAGTTTCTTGCTGAGCAAGTTTCTACATTTTTAATTAAAGCTATTAAAACTCTTATTTTGGAACTTTTCCTACCGACAACTATCCAAGGCAAATCTTCAAGAAAGAAAAGGAATTAAAATAAGACTTGGGGTTTTCAAAAGCTAGAGAAATTATGTTCTATAACTATTAAGGCTAGTTTAAGCTAAAGGAAAATTTATCGAGTTGGAAAGTTTTAGGCAAAACACTAGATATTGAGTTTTATAATCTAATACTAGCTGGAAAAATATTTTTGATTAATTTGATCACAGTTACTCGAGTTCGCAAGGTCGAAACGACTTTCACAGTTTTGATTCCATTTCGCAATCATATTATGGATCAAATATGGCAAAATCACATAGCAAATCACTAGGGTTTCGTCAATCATTAGTCCTAGATTTCAACAATTGCATTTCTGATAAAAATAAAATTGAACGACCAAGGCTTCATCAATCATTAGCACTTGGTTTCAGCAAACCCATCATAAGCAAATAAAAATAAAAGTAAGGCCTCCAAGACATTCCAGCAATTAGCTTTCATCATCCAGTAGTACTTATAAAGTCATTCAAATGGCCAAGGGCTTCATCAATCATTAGCTCTTGACAACCAATACACACTTTCAAATACCAATTCATTCAAAACAAGAACAAAAACTACAACCAACTTGAGATCCAAATGATTCCAAGAATCTAAAATATCCATTAAACTTTCCACTTTTATTTGCTAGAATCACTATACATATAGATTATAATCTGTCCAAACCAAGCTAAAGTAAATAATACACAAATCCAGCAAATAAACTCACCAAAAGTCCCAACCAGTTCGGTCATGCTGGAAAAATAATTTCCTTCAAAAATTGCTTTAGTTCATGTTCCACAAATCAAACAGTTATGAAAATTATACTGTTGTAGAATAGATTTTTAATACTATCACATCCCAGAAGACACTTTTCAGAGATTCAAATCACAAATGGGCCAAATATTCTATCCAAGTCAAGAATTCAGTTTCCTGAGGAAACAGGACATTCAAACAGGACAGCCTACTTTGAGGAATCACGGACAGCAGTACACATGGAGGAAAAATATGAAATTTCTACAAAACAAAGGCCCATGACTCTAGTTTTAAATGCCACTGACGGCACCTCAATCGGATTTTCCTACACCAAGATATAAGCATTTTACTGAGACTGGTCAGAGAAATCCGAAAATCTGGAAACTCATTTTTCACTTGTGAAAAACTCCTTTTCCTCTTTTAAAACCATAATACTCTTATTCAAATCATCATACTTTTAAGTATGATATTCATACCAGAATATACCAAAGCAAATAACGCTTAATTCCAATAAATTATTCCACCAAAAAGTCCCCATAAATTTGTCATCAGCTAAGATAAAATTTGCCAGCAATTGATAGTTTATTTATATAGCTTTTGTTCCTAGTTTTCTTCAATTCTTACCTCAGCTCAACATACAACAGGTGATTAGCAAGCCTCAAGCAAATCTTAAACAGCCAATACGAAAATCTGAATTGAAATTCGAAAACAAAACTAATTAAATGCTCACTCCCTTCTCTCGACCAAGCTGGAATATTTTGCAGCAGAAAATTTCCCTCGGTTTCAATCCACAATTCAACTTTTCCTCAGATTTTCCTCCATTAAACTTCACTTAATACTTAAAGCTAATAATCTATATGCAATTTATAACAAAATTTTCCATTTGACAGCAATTACAAATGCAAACAAACATGAAGTCTCTTGGCTATTCCAGAAAATTTCCAGCAGCTAAGTTAGACGCAAATCTGGAGTTTCTTCAGCTAAAACCTTGTATTAGGTACTCAAAACCAACATGCATGACTAATTAGTGGAATTACTATCAGCTCTGGTTTAAATCAAGTTCGGACAGCAACTACTATCATCCACAATTCCAGAATTTTGTTCAACCATTCTCGGATGCTCTTGCATGCAGCAAATTCTTTTGTTACATCCTTATTTCTTGCTTAGCCGACTGATTAACCTCATGCAAGACTTAATCATCTGATTTTTACTTAGCTAATTACATTTATGAGCTCAGATTGTTCAAATAAGCAGATTAAGGACTGCATTTTCTGAACAGGCTCTCGGCAAAACCATCTCCGTTAAAATCAGATTTCTTATTCTTTGATTTTATCGTCCAAGTGCTTAACCATCACATGCAAGCTCTTAAACAACTCATTTATCTCTAATTAGCTAGTCTAGGACCAGAGTTTACCTCAGCTTAAGGTTTAGCTCACACGACAATCAGCTGCAAAATTTTCTTCCTCTCGGCTATCCAGAAATTGCAGCCCGCAAATCTTCCTCCCCTTTGCTCAAACTTGCGGCTGGATTGGATGAAGTTTGGCTCTCAGATGTCTCCATCAACTCACGGACAAACCAAAAAAATACTTCAGCTCGCGGTTTTCCTCCTTTTCTTTTCTTGTCGATGATACCGAAGCTACGTCCCTCTCACTCTCCTTTCCTTCGATGGTCACGAGGTGGGGTGAAGTGAAGATGATTCGTGGGTGGAGGAGGTTGAGTTGTGCAGAGGAAATGAGATTTGGTGAAGAGTGGTATCTCGGTATCAAGAAAGAAATGGTTTGCGGTTTTGTTTGTGCAGAGAAGGAAAGGAAGTTGCGGTTTGTGTTTGTGATATGAAATGTGAATTAGAGTGAATGGTTTTGTGGTTTTAGCCGTGAGATAGAAAGGATGGTATTGTGGTGCCGCGGTTTATGAGAATGGTTTGCGTGTAGAAATGGGTTGCGTACAAAATTGGTAATAGCTGCGTGATTTGATTTGCGGTCAGAGGTTCCGTTTGGTTTGCATGGAAAGGTAAGGTAGGGTTATTTTAGTCTTTTCACTTTGCTCCCCAATCTCAACTTAATTTCTCAATTCCGACTTAATTCTAAAAATTATCCCCAAGTGCGATTTGAACGCCTAATTATACCCAAATATACCTAAACCATTTTTTTATCGAATAATTATCGATTAAACTTGAATATTAAGGTTCCTAGTAATTCTTATATTATTTAGCGATTAAATTAATTATTAGAATTTCCAATTATTATTTCTCAAGAAATAGGGTTAGTCTAACTCGAAATTTATTGATTTAGTAATATAAAGTCAAGTGAAATAATAATTAAATCCAAGGTGTCAATTTGCACATAAAAGTATTTTTACGCACTTATTGCGAAAACAAAGAAAGATAAGGATATATTTATCGAATTTTCACGCATTAAGTATGTTTAGTATATTAGAATCATATTTATCTAAAATTCATTGGTTTTCATCTTAACGCGGAAATTCCTATTAACATTTAACATTATTAACGATTAAAACTAGTTATCGAAAATCAAAGAATTTATTTTAAAGTAATAGAATTAATCTAACTCAAGAAATATTAATTTAGTATAGCAAAACCGAATAATTTAATATTGGCACAATTATATTATTTATTACATAGAAATTATCTTTACACTTTTATTTCAAAACAATTAGTTACAATACTAGAATTCAAAGTAATTAAGGATTAGATCAATGAAATAGTTTACCATCGAAATATGAAGTTAATGTAACAAAACTAAGAAGTTTAGTAGTTTAGCACAATTCTTTTATTTTGCACATAACGTTTAATTCTACATACTTATTTAAAAACAATTGGACTTCGTGCTAAAATTTATTAAAGAATTAAAATGCAAATAAAATATGCACTGATATTTATATGTCTATTTTCAGGGTTCTCACAGTAACACTCAAGGGACCATTCAAAAGTGCTCCATTTGTAAGTCAAAGCATGGCAAGAGTTTTCGATTCAAAAGTTAGCCAAACTGCTCAAGAGTTTAACAAAACACACGTGGGAGGGAAAAACCGCTTTCACTTCCTTAACTCCTAATCTTTTGCCCAAGTTTTGATATATATAAATGAGCGTTCAAGTTTACTAAACTTATGAAGTCAAAACTTCACCAAACCATCATTTATTTCTTAGCAAAAACACCAACAAATCCTCCAAGTTTTGAACATCAAACAAATGAAATTTCCCACAAAACTCTTGGCATGACGCTCCACTTTTCACCCCTTTTAATTCAAACTTGTTGCTCCTTTTAAAAGCACATTCGAGGGCAATTGATTAGCAAGCTATATTGAGTAAAATTTCACTTTAAAGTTAGAGGAAACGAGACAAATTTCCATCCAAGATTCGGCCAAAACCTTCCAAGTTTTGTTTGTCATTCATAAGAAAAATCCCAGTTTTTGTAATGCTCTTTGAAAAGTCATAACTTGAATTTCGTAAATCCAAAAATCATAAATCTTATACCGTTAGAAAATAGACTCCAAAAACTGCAACTCTCTGGAAGACACCTTCATAAAATTCAGCCCATAACTTAGTCAAATATCAGCCTCAATTCACTGCTCAACCGAGTGCAAAAATAGGACAGTTTTGGATTTTCAACCCACTTGGAAACTTTGCTGGTATTTATAGAAAGTGAACTAAACCATGAATTTTACACGATTAAAAAATCTATGAGTCTAATTTCAAATGCAACAAATAGGACTCAATTCAGATTTTTTTACACCAAGATATAACAGATTTTCCAAGACTGCTCAGAGTCTCCTGCGGAAAAAATTTTCAGCAACACTTGAGTCAACCTTCCCACTTAAGCTCATTATTTTTTTTATTCAAATCCAACTCACAATCAAAGTATAATGTCTAACAAAGTTTGTCCATAACTTAGATTTACCCCAAAAGTTTTGAAAATTAAGGGCTAACAATACTCAAAAGTTTCGGCCAGCAAGAAACTTTCAAAATAGAAATTTTTTCTCAAGTCATCTACCTAAATCAAGGTTTCAAAGAAACCCATCAAAGATCCAATCCACCACAATTAAAGACCATAAGTTCTAGGTTATAAAAGACTCTAGTTCTAGACTATGAGGCTAGCCAAAATGTACAAATATCCAGCCCATATATCATCATACCAAGGCTGGAAAAATGCAAACCCTAAGCTGAAATTCATGGTCATAGGCTGAAATTTCTATAATGAAGCTAAAAGAACATATAAAAGCTAGCAAATTCACATGGCAAAGCTACTAGATCATGGCCATGATCAAATCATCATATCAAATTGAAATTTCACCATCAAAGCTGAAATTTCCAATCATCACTTAAACCATGAAATTTTCCATGAAAATCACCAAAATCAAGCTCTAAATCCACTCATATGCAAGTATTAAAAGAAAAGAGGGCTTCTTGATATAAGTACCTTGAAACCCTATGAAGATATGGAAACCAAGAGATTTTTCTCCAAAATCTTTCGACCAAAGCCCTTAATCCTCCTTAAATGTCAATTTTTATGGAGTAGATTGCAAGATTAAGGTGAAAACTCAACATTCAAGAAGAATTAGAGGTTGAAGATGAAATTTCTCTTCCCTTTTTTTCTCTCAAAGGTTCAGCCAAGTGAAGGAAGAAAATGATAGGTTTTTGGTGAAATTTTGTTTTAATTAAAGGCTAAGAAAGGTTGTACTCAATGTGTGATGACCCAGAAAATTATTTTTTTCTCACCTCCCAACTATTTGCATTTTTATTTAAATTATATTTTTATAAATTTTGCATTCATTTAGTGATTTACTTGTTAATTGTTAAATTAGTTTCTCTTACTTGCATATTTTAACTTTTGAGCAATTAATTTCTTGAAAATTGTTGATTTTGCAACTTATTAGTGAATTAGGCCAAAACCCTAGAAAATTATAAGTTGAGATATTAGTGAAGTCAAGAAAGATTTTGGAAGTTAAAAGAAGGTTGGAAAGGCTAAGGATTGATAGTAAGAAAGTTTAAGTGGAAGGCACTATTGGAGGCTATTCAAAGTTGACTTGGAGAAACCTTTCTTGTGGCTAGTATTTTAGATAAAAAAAAACAACCAAGAGGCCTTCATTTTTCTTCCTTGGCTGGCCGAAATTGAGAGGGAGAAAACTTCACTTTTCTTGAAAAATTTTGAAGATCCAAGCTTTCTTCCACTAACCTACTTACACTTTTGGAAGATTTTGGGAGAAAGAAGCTCCTAAGGGTTGATCTTGCCATCATCTTGGGTAGATCTTGCTAGGGTTTGAAGCTTTGAAGAGGTAAGTGGCTAATCTACATCATTCTGTTACATTTCAAGTGGATTTAGGTTAAAACTTGGAAGATCCATGGTGGATTTGAAATTTTATGGAAGTTTTGGTACTAGAAACTTGATAGTGTGAGAACCCGTATTTCTTTTCCATTTACTAGGTTTTATTATATTCAATGGATTGTTTTTTGCATTTTCGTGATTAGGAAAATTTCTAGATACTTTTAAGGAGCAGATATAGTTTTTAGATAATTTTTCTAGTATCAAATAGTTTTTGAGAAATGAAGAGCATATACCAGACGTGGGACCTACTAGGGCGAAAAGTTCGGCCAGTTAGCTTAAGTTTTGGATACTCGATTTAATTAACCGGGCGTTAAGAGATAATTAGAGGTTGCTATTTGGATTGGTGTGAGAGGAAACAAAGAGATAGAGATGCATTTATGGAAGTAACAAGTGTCACTTGGATATTGGGTTGACTTTTTGACTACTATTCCATGTTTTACCATTTGACTAAATAAACTAAAAACTTACCAAAATTTGCTTCATTTCCAAGCTCTTGTGGCCGGCCAACTTCAAGGAAGAAAGAAAGAAAACCTCTTCAACTTCTTGATTCCCTCTTGCTCAAATCCAATAACTCAACCATCTAATCTTGTTTTTGTTCCATAGAAACCCTTAAGGGAGTGTTTGTGAGGTGTTTAGTGGAGTTGTTTGGAAAGCTAAGGGGATTAGTTGCTCCCTCTCTTGTATTGCTAAGGTGAGTAGTGAAGGACCCCTCTCCTCCCTCTAATGATGTTTAATTCATGATTGATGGTAGTATAAGATGCAATTTTATGGATTATCTTTTGATTTTTGGTTGAATTGATGAAGTTTTATAATTATTGGTGATTTTTCTATTTTCATATGAATAAGATTATGTGGTCATGTATGATGATTGGAAATGGTATTTAAGGAAGCTAGAAGGTGGAAAAAGTGGTTAATTGCAAGCAATTTCTGTTTTGGAAAAAAAATTAGAAAGTTAGGGTTTCATTGTTCTTCATTCTGCGTGGCACTGTATCACATAGTTAGAGGCCGAATTGGCTTTGGTTTAAAACATGAAAGTTGTAGGGAATAATATTTTAGAGATGCCTGTAAAAGTTCAGGTCAATCGGACTAGCGTAGCTTGAGAAAAGATGGAATTACCCTTGCTGCCCTGGTTTTACCCGAATTTGATAGTTGCGTCTGTAATTGGTTAATTTGGTTGGGAATGCTTCAGAATTGGTTGTTGAGGT